AACATATTCTAAAGAACTTATGTCATTAAATACCATTTGGAATGTATCTCCCGGATGAAATGTTGCATTTGTTCCACTTTTATAATGTAATGTTAGTTCAATAGAATTATCCAAGAAAAATTCAAAAGTATCTGGTTGAAGACCTCTAACAAATTCAAATGGAGTTGCTGGTTCACCATTTATAATTTCTGTTGTAAATGTCATTGTATCTGGTTTCGAAAATTTCTTTGTTAGTTCTGTATCCACATAAGTTTTGTCGGCTTTACTGTCTAACATTGCTGGTAGTTCATATGCTTCAAAGTTTCTGGCATGACCTTCGATATTCCTGCAACTCTTATCTAAATTGTTAAGAGTATCTTTTACGCTTGTACTCGGATTCTCTAAAGGTGCACTTGAACCCAAATCATAGTTCAATATTATGTCGTCTGCTCTAACAGTAGTGAAGGATTTATGTGTATGATTTTTGTCGGCTTTACTGTCTAAAGAAGTTTGAAGTTCATTTATATCGGAGATATTGTGTTTATGAGATTTCAAAACTTTGTTCGTTGCGTCAAGTTCTGTTTTGTCAGCTTTACTTTTAATAGCATCTTCAAAAGTTATTTTTGACTTAACTCTCAAAGTAAATCTTGGTTCAACTAATACACCGTTAACAAAGAAGTATGAAGCATAAATTTCAGCGTTATAACCAAATGATTGTGGTGCTATACCTGTGTCATACTGTACAGTACAGTGTATGTCATAACCTTTAGCACGAATGAATTTATATCTTCTTTCATTAACATTTTTCGTATTCACTTTTTCACCCTGTGTTAAATATCCATGATAGTCCGTTATAATCTGTTCATCAGAACTTATATAATGAACATGGTTTTTGTCTGCTTTATTGTCTAAAGAAGTTTGAAGTTCATTTATATCGGAGATATTGTGTTTATGAGATTTCAAAACTTTGTTCGTTGCGTCAAGTTCATTTTTGTCCGCTTTACTATTTAATGTAGCTTGAAGTTCATTTATATCGGAGATATTGTGTTTATGTTCTTTATCTGCTTTTTCGGCTAATTTCTCTTCTATCTCATTTATTTCAAGTTCATGCCTACCACCACCTCCCGAAGAAGTATTTTTCTTCAGCTCTTGAAGAACGTCCACTTCGCCATCTTTGGTGTCAATAATGAGACTTTGAGTTAAAACCTTTCCTGTCTTAATGGATGTTTGTAAAACTTCTTCTTCACCGTGTTCGGGGTCATGGTCGTCGTCATATCTTGTGAAATCAGAGATGTTGTCATACATTAAGCATATCTGTCTCAAAAGTTCTGCTATTTGGAATTGGAACGAAAGATATACAGAACTTTCATCATCTCCTAAAGTCAAGTCTGCTTTCTTAAGTATTTCTTGAATGTATGCAATGAGAACAGAGTACCTTGGAAAATATTCGAACAATATTTCATTAGCTGTTGGTTTTGGTGGCTCCTCTGGAGTTTCTGTTGTTTCAGTTCCTTCTGTAGGTTCTTCTGGAGTTTCTGCATCTCTTGACTTCAATGCTCTTGCTCTCAAAGACCTAAATGTTAGAGCACCGGGTTTTACAAAGGACTTTATAAATGCTTTAATAGTTCCTGGTAAGTTATTGTTAGCATTAAGTAAGTTCCTTATGCTTCCATCATGTACGTCCATAGCACTATGTAAAAAATCTATACTTTTCTTGTAGTCAGCAATAGACTGACTGTGATTTTTTAAAGATTTGTCAATACCTTTAAGCCAATCTTCATGCATGTCTGATACTGAGCCAAGAATATCATTTGCTTCCTTTAGTGTATTTTGTGCTTTTCGTAAAGTATCCAATCCCGTACGTGCATTGTTTGCTATACGTCTTACAGTATCTATTTGACTCCTTGTTTCTTGCATCCAACCAGATAAAGTTTTAATAGTATCCGAACCATTTGAAATGAAGTTCAAAGCATTTTTACGTCATCTAAAGCTTCTTCACCAAGTACAGCCCATATCTTTCCGATTTGGTATTGAAGAACTCCATATGAAGCAGCTGTTAAACCAGTATTTATAAGGTCCCATATCCATGATTTAGCAGTTTTTCCATCCTTTCCATCCTTTCCATCCAAACCGTTTTCGCCTTGAGGTCCTTGTATTCCTTGAGGTCCTTGTATTCCTTGAGGTCCTTGTATTCCTTGTGGTCCGGTGTCACCCTTCTCTCCTTTCAGTTCATCTTTATGTTCGTTATAATATTCTAATGTCATAAGGTGTACATCATTACTGCTACCAGCAACTCCTAATATTTGTTTCTCATTCATGACTAAATTCTTTAGGCATTTAATGTTGTCGTCAAATCGAAAGCTCTTTAACAATTCAATGAGAACATTCAGTACTTTCACTAATGAGGCATCTACTGTAGAATTTATATATTGCACCGTTCCATCATTTATGATAGGAACTTTACTTATTGTAATGAATGGGTCATAAGTGTTAAAAGTATCGAAATCAATGACTTTTTTAGTTTTTCCATCGTCAATGACTAAATCATTGCCTTCAATGGTTAAAGTTGAGTTTTCGTTTACTAGTTCATGTGCTCTTCTTGCTTCATTTGTTTCATACGCATATGCAGCAATAGTCATATTTTAATGAGAATAAAATGTTGTTCTATTTGCAAAGTACTGACCAAACGAATACGGAACAGTAAACTACAAACAAACTTAGGTCTTCAGAATGAAGCGCTTGCTTTCAGAGTGTTGACTTCAATACTATCGCAACTTTTGTCATAACAGATGAAACAGATTTCATGGAGTTTGAAATAGATGGAAAGAAGCATGAAATATAAGATTTCACAATAATGTAGAATATAAGATGGAAACATTAGCTGGAGTGTTAAATGCGCTCATAAATACTACAATAAACAAGGAGAACGAAGAAAACTTAATGAATGTTAAACTTATTGCAGGAGTTTTGAAGTTCAGTTATGCGAAGGAGTTTAAGATAACACGAATGAGTCATAGAGTTCAATTGCTTCTGGGAGCATACCATATGACATTTCCTTTGAAAAGTTTTGACAAAACGATTGAGATGAAATCTGTTCCATACGTATGTTATGGCAATTGTTTTACATTGAGTCAAAAATAGCTAATGTCACAGGTATTTCAGGAGTTAATAGTAAAGGTTCAGTAGAATATAAGTCTTTCTGTTATGAAGTAAATTCAATGTTCATTCCAACGTTCCTGTCATAGCAACTCATTTAGGTAAATGGGTTCGCATTAGTCCTCATAATTTGAAAGACATGCAATTCAGACTAGTGACTTTCAAGGAGAGCCTGTAGAACTGAAGGCACCAGTGCGAATGACTGTTGAAGTAGACTTTTTTGAAAATATTAAATGCAACAGCTTACAAGAGAACTCAGAGCTAAAAATATAAAGTATGAATGTTATGTATTAGGTCATGAACTTTGGTTGTTGCTGTTTGATGAAACAAATGAGTTAGTTATGTCAGTCAAGAGACAGAAAAAGGCGTCAAAGGCGCCGAGCGCAAAGCGCTATATTGTGTTAGTGAGAACTGCACCAAGTCAATAAGATTAGGTTTGCATTATGAAGATGAGTTCGATACTGTTGAAGAAGTTTTGGATAGATATTACAAATTGCTAACTTGAAATTTTTTTGACTAACGGCGCAAAGCGCCAAGATGGGCTCAAAGAGCCCTCCTGACTGCTTTAATTTACTAAAACATATTTCAAACATAATTTATATTCTGTTGAAAGTTTTGTATACTCGTTCGAATATTTATACTTAAACTCAACTCCTGGAGTACCTGGTATTTCAATGATGCGGATGTTACCTATTTTCATGAATGTGGCGTTTGACCACAGCATTCGATTTCAGGGTCGAGATAGTCAATGACACATTGTTTCCCTGTTATTCGTGATATAACATTTTCAAGGTCCTCCTTTGTTAGAATTATTTGGTTCTTGCTTATAAGATTTGTCAAAAGCTTCTTATCGTCTTTGAGTAAGATAGTTTGATATAACTGAAGAAGGTAATGGTCTACGTTATCTGAAGGATTTGTTTGAACATTTGTGTAAGGGTTGTCGTTGGCTTCTCTTGAAAGAATTTGGTCAGTGGTGGATACTCTAACTTAACATCTGATGTAGCGTTAGCGTTTGAAGCTGAGTTTAAATTCACGGCGCCATGCGCCAAGACCGAAGGTCCCGACTTAAGTTCTGGTTCTTTTTCTTTCAAACACTCCGAACTATAGTTCTTTATGACAATATTGTTTGTCGTTCGTGAGTCAACATTTGATGTTGGTTCAATTGGAACATTAACGGCACCAGCTAAGATGGATTTGCTTCTCATTTCATATAGAATAAAAACCTTTTATATGTATGAAATGAACAATATACTCGACAAGGGTTTGAATGTAAAGCTAACGAATGAAAATATTGTTGAATTCACTGAGACAGGTGCTGTGTATAAAGATGTAGAACTACTGAACAAAAGAGCTAAGGAAGAAGCAGGAACATGAACAAAGGGTGGAAGCCTATAAAAATTTATGTCAATGATGGCTCAGGAGGTTCAAACATAAAGTATGCAGAAAGTTATAGAGTTTATGCGCTAAAAGGTGAAAAGCCTTCATTTAAGAACAGCTATTCTAACGCATATCCTCAAAAGTTAACGGATGGGGAAGTGGATGATATGAATGACAGCAAAAATATTAACAGAAATGGCGACAGAGATGCATGGAATTTGTTTACCATCAGTCAATTGAAGGTTAAACTTTAAAACAATGTTGGTCGTTCCCATGGAATATTTTTGACTTTAATGGTATTAGTCATGATATGAATCTCAAGGTATGAACGAGGAGAGATGAGAGACTTATATGCTTCCCAAATTTCTTCAAAAGGTAATGTTATACCTGACTGTTTCCAAATGAGTTCAATATCATAGCGTGAGAAACCTTGAAAGATAACGAAGTCAGTTATGAGACGTTTTATGTTTAAAGCTAAAAACCTCCATGTTTGCATAAGTATTGCTACAGTTAAGTGGTAATGTCTGACTTTAGTAATGATGTTAGCTAATGGTGAGTCAGGCTTTGACACTAAACCTTTTCCGGCGAAGTCGTCGCAAACGAGCAGAGTGTTTGAAGGATACTTTTTGAAGGGGTATTTTGAAAGTTTTGACAGAATGTAGTTTGTAAGTCGTTTCATATCGTAAACTCCTGAGTATTGACGTAAGTGGTGTTTGTCAATAATTCTTTCCATCTCTTCTGAAGTCTTTTGCATTCCTGACTGTATAAATTCAACGATGGCATAATATTTCCTCTTACGTCGAATGTAACGTTGAAGAAATTCAATGAGTTCGCTATCTGGAACTTTAACGACAGAGGCTTGAACTTTTGACATAAATGTTTTCGCTGTTGAGTCCATAGAGTCTGAAGTTGCTGATATAATGATTTGGTCATAATATGAATCTTGACCTAAACGCTCTGTTATGAGTATATGACGAATGAGGTTAAATGTCTTACCTGACCCCATCTTTCCACAATAGAAATAAACACCATTTGAACAGAACTCATAGTCCTTACTGAAAGGAAGAATGAGAGAAGAGTTAAGTTTGTCTGTAGTTTCATTCATGTCTTCATCTACGTCATGTATTAAATGCTTCATTTTATCTCCATTAAAAATGCAAGTCAGAAATATTCAGAACATAGCACCGAGTCTAACTGACAGAGTATAAAGATATACTATGAACACGTTATGATGAAACCAACCAAAATTCAAGAAAGTCAGTATACTTATGAATATCAAGACACTGGGTAGAGTATGTAGGAGGTGAGAAAGCTATTGAAATAAGACAAGTTAGAAGTATTCCAGCAGGAAGGACAATATTATTGAAGAACTTTAATGTTTTGAGGTATAATGATGAGACAGAAGCAAGATAGTTTTCCTATTGCTGTGTATGTGAACCTAGACACAGGAGATGACATGAAAGTTTTTTAACACAAAGCTTCAAACGGTAGTGAGAGAACAACTGACTGCGGAAGGACACCCATTACCTTCAGAAGTTACCATAGCGTATAATTTTGAAACAAATGCAATAGATTTTAAAGTCGTCTCTGCAAAGAAGTCAGGTTTTACATTTAATGAAGCAGATGTATATTCGAATGAAAACTTCAAAGCTATTGCATGGTTAGATAATGACGATTGCTTTAAGAAAATATTTAAATTCAGTGACTCAACGATGTCAATAGATGACCTTCGTGGAATGTTACCATCGACGTTTACAGTAGAAGGTTCAGCAGGATTGCTTACAAGATTGTCAATTGGTGGTATTTGGTCTCGTGAGAACATTGTTATAAAATCCAGTATAAGTGAATTTGCTGAAGAATCTATATTATGTCTTTCAAACTATATGTATTCGCCGCCGAAGCATTATAGTATAACAAACTTTGTCAGTAAGTTTAATATAAGACTTGTTGAACCTTCTTCAATGAAAGATGTTGTGCTACCCAAAGACGGAAAGGATGGACTCATTATTGAGATGATTTAATAGCATATTAAATGAGCTTGTTTTTAAAGGTCATTCATGATGAAATAACTGTTGTAGAAGATGTTAGCAATTGTTCAGACATTTTGAAGCGTATAGATGAGATAAGAAAGAAGTTTATGAATGAGAATGTTTATGTTTCATTGACTTTCTCCAGTAAAGAGAACTTTTATGAGATAATATTGAAGAGAGATGATTTTAATATGGTGTAAATGGTAGCTTGGGCAGCTTTAGGCGCAATGGGAACAAAAGCATTAGCATTTGGAGCAAAAGCACTTGGGGCTTATGACGCAGTAAATAAAATGAGTGGAGGAAGAGTTTCGAAGACATTAGATGCAAATAAAGGAAAGATTGGAGGCTGGGTTGCAAAGAAGTTAAGATTAAATAAAATAGGGCTCATAAATAAAGCATCCAATTTGGTTGCGACTGAGTCAGAAAATGCTTTAGGAAAGGACGATGAGTTTGCAAAACATGCAAAAGACTTTAATGACCAGATGAAAGGTGAAACAATGCATTTAAATAGAGTCGATGGAACTAAAGAAAATGTTTCTTCTCCACCAGTAGTTCTTCCGTATGGTCCCTATGGAATGTATGGAAACCCTTACGAAAGACCATTTGACCCATTGACTGGTGGAAGTAACTGGTATCATTACGGACGAAGAAGAAAGACAGTTAAGCTGGAGACAGACGTGAAGAAGCAACTAAAAAGAAACCAAGGAAGAGAGTTATAAAGTAATGAATTCAACAGACCCAAAGGGTCAGAGCCGCTTTGCGGCTAGGGTGAAAAAAGAGGTGAAAAAAGAGGTGAGATTTCACCACTTCACCTAAATTTATTTTTTCACCTCTGACAACGTTTATTTTTAAGTTTATTTTATTATTTAGCGAGAACGTTTATTTTATGTAAATGACAGAACAAAAATATAACATTTCTACTCAGCAGGAATGAGACCCTTACTGACTATGTATTCGTTTAATGCTTGATGAAAACAATGTACATATTATCGTATGGGTATACACAACGTCTGTTTCCATCGTCGTCGTATATGTAGAGCTCAAATCCAGTCCAACCTTCTTTTGTACAATATGTAGCTTTATTTAAGTATGCATTTATGTAGATAAGGCAATTTTCTTCATCGCTCCAGAAATAATTTTTCGTCATTGTTGAAATAGTTTTCGTTCCTCTGCGACCATAAGGAATGTATGCAATGAACTTTGCGTCATATGGGATTGTAATATATTCAGGGTTTCTTTCATCGTCAATGGGTCTGTCTTTGTTAAAATGCATGTTTCTCAGTTTTACTTGAGTTTGAATAGTTCACGGAAACGTTCTGGGAAAGAGTCATAGTAAATGTAGTCGGACATGTCTTTGTAATGAAATAAAAAATTTAAAAAAATAAAAATAAGGTTATTTTTATTAGTGAGGACGGTAGTGAAGTCGTTAGTGAAGTCGTTAGTGAAGTAGTTAGTGAAATCGTTAGTGAAATCATTTATGTGTCAGATGGTTTTGTAAATATTTAAGGTTAAGTTGGTGTTATGGTTGTGTTGTAAAATATACGTTAACGGTTTTGTAAAGTGTCAAACCGTTAACTTGGGTAAGGTGGAACGCAGTGCCGCCGTACACGACTTAGCCATACTAACTAAAGTATTGAAAAATAATGTTTATGTTAGCATGTTAGATCTAACACGTTTTCTAACCACTTTTCTAACATCGTAGAAAACTCATGAAAACAATTTATTTTTGACACTTTCACAAAAAACATAAAAAAGTGAAGTTAAAATGAGATGTTTACTGAACTGGTTGGATGTCGCCTTCTGTAGTTATGTAGAATGGTTGACCCGAGAAGTGAAGGAGACCCTTGAGAATTTGTATAATTCGTGGAATTGGACTCTCTCTGTTTGGAAGTTGTATCCAAGGACGCTTGGCAAAGAACTTGAGAAGAGCTTCTCTTTTGGCGTCCTTTATGTCGTCGTAGGCTGTCCCGTCTGGTACCTCAATTGGAATTCCAGTCGAAGTCTCGAGATTCAAGGCAGCCCTTCCAGAAATAGTGGTGAACTTGACCTTGGGCTTCATGACCTTGCGCAAGTAGTCTTTTACGCAGTCGTTAATTTAAATTAGGTAAACTGCCTCGTCGGTAGGTTCGACCTCGACCATTGCTACTGTCAGTAAAAGTACTGCTACTGTCAGAAAAAGTACTGCTACTGTCAGTAAAAGTACTGCTACTGTCAGAAAAAGTACTGCTACTGTCAGTAAAAGTACTGCTACTGTCAGTAAAAGTACTGCTACTGTCAGTAAAAGTACTGCTACTGTCAGTAAAAGTACTGCTACTGTCAGTAAAAAGGAAAATTTGAGAGGGTTTTCGACGATAAAGTACTGCTACTGTCAGTAAAAGTACTGCTACTGTCAGAAAAAGTACTGCTACTGTCAGTAAAAGTACTGCTACTGTCAGTAGCAGTACTGCTAGTAGCAGAGATTTTTATCGTTGTGGTCCGACGGTTAAGCCACAAACGAATGTCCCACGTCCCACCAACCCTTGGTTGTTCCAGCAATTCCAATCTCAATCCAAATCGAAGAGAGACCAAGAGTTCGAAGAAGGTCTGAACCGCTTACGCAAAGAGTATGCTACAGCTCCAATTGAGAGAAAGTTGTTCCCGGACCAAAAAATATAATTTAGGTGAAGAGGTTAGATCTAACCTCATTTCTACCCTCATTTCTACCCTCATGAATTTTCATGAATTTTCATGAATTTTATATATTAATGTTTTCGTTAATTTAAATTAGGTAAACTGCCTCGTCAAATCCTTCTGGCATTCCGAGTCCTTCCATCCGACAGGAAAAAATTTTCCCGACAACTGGAAAAAATTTTCCCGACAACTGGAAAAAATTTTCCTTCCGACAGGAAGAACTCTTCCAGTTGTCCGTCCGTAAACCATTCAAATTTTCGAAAATTGAGAACTTTTTGGTCGAACTTCAGAAAAAGTTTTTCCTTCCAACAGGAAAAAATTTTCCTTCCGACAGGAAAAAATTTTCCCGACAACTGGAAAAGTTCTTCCTTCCGACAGGACACAAACGAATGTCCCACGTCCCACCAACCCAGTCCATTCCCAAACCAGAGGAACCTAAAGCACCAGCCCCTGCACCTCAGTTCCAGCAAGTACCTCCGAATTACTACCAATTTCCACCTCAAGGTTACTACCCACCACAAGGCTTCCCGAACTACCCTCCTCAGCCTATGCCTTACTTCCCCAACCCTTGGATGTTCCAGCAATTCCAATCTCAATCCAAATCGAAGAGAGACCAAGAGTTCGAAGAAGGTCTGAACCGCTTACGCAAAGAGTATGCTACAGCTCCAATTGAGAGAAAGTTGTTCCCGGACCAAAAAATATAATTTAGGTGAAGAGGTGAGATCTCACCCGTTTTCTCACCTCTTTTCTACCCTCTTGAATTTGTCATGACTTCTTCGTAAACTAAACGTAAATGTTTTGTGAAGAATATAGCAACAGTCTGAATTCCGGCGGTTGCTTTTTATACAAAATTCATGCAGGAAATTCTTGAGTTTTGGTTGAAAGAATACGGTGGAGCCAAATGTGGCTCGACCTCAAAACAAGCATTTTATGAGCTTACAAAGGGTGTTATGAATGAATTCAAAGGTATTTACATACATCCTGACCTCGTTCATTTTGTTGCTAAATTCAGTAAAAATATATTTTAGGTGAAGTGGTGAGATCTAACCTGTTTTCTAACCTCATTTCTAACCTCTTGAATTTTCATGAATTTTCCCGAAATAAAAAATAAAGTTAGTTTTATTTTATTTATTCTTCATTTTTTTGTATGTAAGATATGATTTCAGGGATTTTTTTGACGAAGTGTTACTCTTCACTTCGTCAAAAAATAACAGTTATCTAATGAAAAAGTGTCATTTTTTTGTATTTGACGAGAATGTCGGGTAGAAGGTTAGATCTAACCTCATTTCTAACCTGTTTTCTCACCTCATGAATTTTCATGATTTCATCGTACATGTTTTGTCAAAACTTCTTCGTAAATGTTTTGTCAAAACTTCTTCGTAAATGTTTTGTCAAACATGAACGT